GGCTGAAACATGGACACTTAGGGCAGTAGATCAGAAACATCTGGAAAGTTTCGAAATGTGGTGTTGGAGAAGAATGGAGAAGATCAGTTGGACCGATTATGTGAGAAATGAAGAAGTGTTAATTAGAGTCAGTGAGCAGAGGAATATCCTACATGAAATAAGAAAACGGAAGGCTAATTGGATTGGTCATGTTTTACGCAGAAACTGCCTTCTAAAAGAAGCTATCGAAGGAAAGATAGATGGGCGGATAGAAGTGACAAGAAGACGAGGAAGAAGACGTAAGAAGATGCTGGATGACCTTGGGGACAGAAGAGGATACTGTCATTTGAAGGAGAAAGCTCTAGATCGCATTAAGTGGAGGAATTGTTTTGAAAGAGACTGTGGACCTGTCGTCTTGACAGATTACTGATGATGATGATGATTTGCTGGGTATTCGATTGGGGTTTCCCACTGCACGCAATGTGATGTTCACTTTTCCATAAAATAGCTTCCCTATGTATTTAAAATTGTATTAAAAATCTTTTGTATGTAAAAAATTAGTTATTATGTTAAAAATCGTGAACCAGCATTGGGTCATGTTGTTTTTTCTTCCGGATGGTAGAAGATGTCGATTATTTCTCTTGGTTGTATGTTCTTATTGTTAGTTGTGTAGTTTATGTGCACGCTGTGTCATATGTACATACGAATACCAGCCAATGGACAAAGTCCAAGAACCAGTAATCGCAATTAAAGTGATGTTCAGGTTAGTATGGAAGATTCATGTTCTGGGTAATTACACCCTGTGGTCTAGTGGGTGGGTTCCAACGTTTGAGCATGATGTACACTTCCATATTCTGGGCCTACCTTGGTTCAGGCAGTTGATCTGTAATGGATGAAGTGTAACTGATATGCAATATTAGAAAATCAGGTCATGATAATGAAGGAAATGCCACTACCAAAATATAGGCTAAATTTATTTTTAAATTTTGGTTTGGTGACACTGTCATTAGCTGGACCGTGTAACACGGAATGGTAGAATGACAGATAAATGATTTGGAAAGAAACGGTCATGCATAATTTTTGGGGGGACTGAGGAAAACCACAGAAAACCTCAGTCAGGATAGGTGGTGGCCCAGCTGAAATATGTATTGAGCACCTGCCAGTCACATGTTCAGGGTGCTATTGTTTGTCAACCCATTCAGCTTCAGTGTGTTGAGAGTTGCAAGTAACAGTTTCTGTTGAGTTGCCTTTAAATCCAATAGTTCTGCTAGTACAGAAATTGGTGTATCATGTTGTAGGTTGTGTTGGAGCTCATTGAGCTGCGTGAGCTTGGTGCAGCTCGTTCATTGCTTCGACAGACCGACCCCATGATCATGATGAAACAGCAGGAACCGGAACGTTACATTCACTTGGGTGAGTTGTGCTGTGCATTATTCCTTCCCAACAGTCAATCTTGCTAGGCTGAAATTACCCACAGGCTTTCACGCATATCTAACATTTTCATAAAAAAAAAGAGACTTTGAGATTGAAATCTTCTGGAATGTGATACTGTGTAATTTTATAAATGGTTACCAATGGGTTCAAGTCCCGATGAGGTCATGGGATTTTTTCAATTGACTTAATCCTTTGAGCCGCACTGTGGCCCTGGGGTCAACTCAGCCCCTAACAGAAATGAGTACCAGGAACATTCTTGGGGGTAAAGGGCTGACAACCTTGCCACCATCTGTGAGCCGATTGTCTAGAAAATGTGGGAACCTCAACATCTCACAACCCTATGGGCCTCCACGGCCTGTTACAGGGATAACTTTACTTACTTACTTACTTACTAATATTTTGTAGTATGCTGCTGCGTCTGTCCTCAGTGTAGATGATGGATATTGGTGCCCATGCATCACACCACACAGCATCATATCACAGAAGACTACAGCATTAATGCAGGGTAATTCAAAACAAAGTAAATACTTTCAGATACTAATAATACAGGATCTGCCAAAAATAATTCCAGGAATTCATGCATTTGTGTTTAGGAATGGAAACAGATATGAAGGTGTTGTTTGTAGGTTTTCATTCATTCATCAGTTGAAACAGTTTCCTTGCACACAAGTGAAAAAGTTGTCAGGTGCAAAATGCTTTGCAATTAGGCGCCATCTATACACTTCCCAGCTATGGTCCATGTTTTGCCATTTGAGCTCTGATATGTCCTTTCTAACATTTGAAATTTCTGCAGTGATTCATACTTTGAATTCATCCAGCATGTTCATTCTTAGACTGTACACCTTGCCTTTCATATATCACCAGAGAAAAAAGTCCTAAAGCATAATCAGGTAAAGAGGGCCCCACAATTGACCCTCCTCTTTATACCCCTCAACCATGGAAATTCACATTCAAACAACAGAGAGTCTGAGCAAAATGAACAGGTGCACTGTCCAGTTGAAGAATAAGATTTTTGTTGTTCTTGAGCTTCAGAAGAGCATAATGTGTAGGAATGAATTCCTTGTAATGATGTCCTCATCAAAGAAATACAAGCCAGTGATTCTTTCTTTTCACAGCACACACCATAAGTTCACTTTAGGACTATCCTGCTCATGTTCTGAATGTTCCATGTCCAGGGATGTGAAATTTTCCCTCATCATTGAAGACAGTACAACTTTCAAAATTATCACATTCAAAATTTCTGTACATGTGCCACAAATGATGATCTAAGCTGTTTTTAACATGTGCTGTAAGTTTCCAGACTACCTTAGTTTGAATAATTCTGTTGACTGTCATTTGTGGCATCAGTAACTCTGCACATGATGAGGAGATTGCTTTCCTCAGAGTCCATATTAAAGCCTGCCTAACACAAACAACATCAGCCCTACAAGGCCGCCTAGTAGAATGGCTTTTTGCCACATTGCTCGTCCGTCTAAATTGCTTAATCAATCTCCTGATGCTCTTCTCATCAGGTGGTTTCACACCATACTCACATATGAATTCATGTTGAACTAGAATATTGGATTCACATTTTTGTGCTACAAGACAGTCTGTGCTTTCAGCTGTGTGCAGCGTGTGTCAGTGAAACTGTTTTACAGTTACGCTACAAGCACAACATTGTCATGTCTGTTTTCATTCCTGACTTGCTCCTTGTTTTACCTACCACTGTAGGTGCATCCGTACAAATACTGTCAAATTTAGCCTGCTCTAGCCTAGCATTTTAATACACCCTTGCAGCACTTAAAATAACATAACCTGTGATTGTACAGATGATCGTGAACCACATCAGAATATTAATTTACACACTGAATACAATTAATAGTTGTGCATTTTCCTTTAAGAGACAGGCCATTTAAATTCCCATAATGGCAACAGGTCGGAGCTAATTTAAATGTCCGCCACTGTAGAGTATTAAAAATTGTAAGCATGTTACTGAAAATGCTGTGATTTCTACAATTTTTGTGATAAACGAACGAAATAAACGCTGCTTTTATCTAGAAAGAATATAGAATCAGATATTATAATTTACAGATTTTATAGTCTGTAAAAATTGTTACACTGATTCCAAAAAAAAAAAAATTCCCAATTTTGAGCGTCTGTCCACAAATATGCATACAGTTTCTGCACAAAAAGTTTCTGCAATATAAATGCATGCTGCTGACATCCTGTCTTACTATGTCTTATCTGGCAAAAGGTGAGGAAGTTTATGTTTGTATTGCACATTCTCCAGTCACGTCGGAACCTTTCTGTATGCACGAGTGTGGGCAAAGTCTTATCGTACTTTGTCCTTCAGAAATTCTGACTGTATATCTTGGACTAGCCACACAGAGGTACTGTTCTTCGAATAGCCCTGCATTTCCCCCTTGCTTTCACGCCACTTTCAGAGTCGTCTGTACCGCATTCTGAATCGGTGTCATTTATCAGCAGCCTATCAAGTTTGGCTTCGTCCATGCGAAATGAGGCCATGGTGGATAGTTGAAATTGCGATGTTTTATAAGCATTATGATTAGAGGAGGCCACTCAACATCACAGGCCGACTTCCTCTAATACGAGAGTGAGGTGTCGTGTGTGCTCTTTGTGTGGGAAACAGAGTTACGTCCGGACAAAGTGCATAAATTGCAATGTCGGACTCTACATTCAGTTAGATGACGCAGGAGGGTAGACCGTCTACTTATAAAGTGGGTGCCCAAAAATAATATAAGTAGAACAAGAATTTCTATCTTAAAATTAGATTTTAAAACACTGTGCGCACATGTGGACTGCGCATACCCATATGGTGTCGCACAGCCACTCGGCTACACTTTAAAGATCTCCATACAGTGTCGCTAGGCTCTTAAAGGTTATTGGCGACAGCAAAACTTCTATTCATATTATATTATACTGAAAGGGGGGAGCAGCATTTTTAGTTTGTTTTTACACACTGATTGCTTTTAATGTTGATCTATCACGGGAAAAGATGATGTGTTCATTGTTCATTAATTTTAGTTTCTGCAGCAGCTAATGGTGTAAGAAAATGGGGTACATGAAGTTCTCATGAGAAGGTGATATGAATCTGAGCAAGTCAACTTGGTAATGTATAAAGTTAGCAGGCTCTTGTTTTGAAAGAGATTAATTTTCTGTTTCATTAAATACCTGGAGAAATGTCGTTAGTTAGAGAACTTCATGGTACATATGGAGACCCCACGGTGTATAATCATTAATTTTGCATTTCAGAGAATTTACTGGCTCGATCATACTTTGATCCTCGAGAGGCATACCCAGATGGCAGCACCAAAGAGAAGCGACGCGCTGCCATAGCACAGGCTCTTTCAGGAGAGGTGTCTGTTGTTCCATCGTCTCGTCTGCTGGCTCTGCTTGGGCAGTCTCTGAAGTGGCAACAACATCAGGGACTTCTGCCTCCAGGTGGGGCTCTTCAGCATATTTGTCTCTATGGCTGGTATATGTTCAAGCATAAGTGTTGTGTAGCAATCACATTCTTGATAGAGTGAGTACTTGAGGACATTACTGTAATGCAGTCCAAAAGAGCCATGCCATAAGATCACATTTATAAAAGTGTGGACCAGCTATGCACCGCAGCCATGTTTGTAATTGTTGATATATAAACAATATTTCATGCAGAGAATATAGATATGAAGAATGCCGTCTTCTGGGATGTGGCACCATGTAGATCTTGTGCAAACCAACCTCCATCATCAGGGTAGAAAAAACTGCAAGTGAGGAACCAGCGTGAGCAGGGGGCTGCAGACTGAACCGCCAGTCGAAAACACCCAGCTATGTTTATGATCTCTTCCCATGCTAAATCTTACTTGCTTGCCTCCAGTGTATACATACATACATACATACATACATACATATATACAAGGGTCATACTGAAAGTCATGAGCAACAATTTTTTGTAAAGTAAGATGCTTTATTATTGACAAACCAAATACACCACCTCAATCTACAGACCTTTCTTTATTTTTCCACATAATCGCCACTTCTTTGTACGCATTTCTCCAAGCGTTCTGGGAGTTTGAAAATTCCCCTTCTGTAAAATTCCGTGCCAGCCACCCGAAGACACTGACGCACTGCTTTTTGAATTGCTTCCCTTGTCTCAAAACGTCCATGCAGCTGATCCTTCACAAATCTGAAAAGATGGTAGTCGGAGGGTGCCAGATCAGGGCTATAGGAGGAGTGTGGAAGAACTTCCCACCCCATCTTTGCAATTGCTTCCAATGTGAGGCGAGCGGCGTGGGGGTGAGCACTGTCATGCAAGATGATGTTTCGTCCTGGATGTTTATTGCGCAAAGCACGACGGAGCTTGTGCAGCATCTGGACATAATGAGCAGCATTGATGGTTTGCCCAGGTTCCAAGAATTCAGCAGAATAAACCCCTCTGCATCCCAGAAGACTGTGCCCATCATCTTCGCAGCTGATGGCACTGTCTTTGCCTTCTTTTTTGATGGAGAATGCAAATGGTGCCATTCCATACTCTGCCTTTCCGTTTTGTTTCAGGCTCGAAATGGTGAAACCAGCTTTTGTCACCTTTCACAATACAGAGCAAAAAATCATCGCCTTCGTGTTGATATCTCTGCAGCAGTTCTGAGGTGATGGCTTTTCGCTGACCTCTGTGGTCTTCGGTCAATAATCGCGGGATCCAACGAGCACGAACTTTCCTATAGACCAAGCTTTCTATCATCTCCTGTACTTCACTATGCCCTATTCCAAGTTTTTGGGCTATTGTGTCCACAGTCGCACGCCTGTCATCTTGAATGATCTCATCCACTCTTTCCTTGTTGCGTTCAGTTGAGGCTGTTCGAGGATGATCACTCCGAGGCTCATCTTCGATGCTGGTGTTCCCATCTTTAAAATGTTTCACCCATCTTCGAACACTGCTTGCACCCATGCACACACATCCATAAGCATGCTGAAGTCTCTGGTGAATTTCTGCAGCAGGGATTTCCTCTTTCACAAGAAATTCGATGACAGCACGCTGGCGAAACAACATATCGTT